TACCAACTAAGCTATTCAGACCCTTTCGACCTTATTTCTCCATATGTAAGTTTCGAGATTAATTTATATATGGAACTTAGTGATCTCAAACCAAGAGATACAGTTCTGAATAATTAATTTCTCGTGCTTTGGCTCTGTTGGCTGATTTAAAAAAAACATTTATATTCTTAATATTGAGAGCCGATAAAAATATTTCTTTCTGATTTTATTCACGCCTTGGCCTAATCACGGCGTTATTTACTAACATCTAAAGGCAAATTTAGTTGGTAAGAGCAGTCGCCCGGAAAGTGAAAGACGCGGGTTCAATTCCCGCTTCAGCGACTTTTCGGACCTATATTTTTCGCGCCTATTTCTCCATATGTTAATTTCGAATTAATTTATATATGGAACTTAGTGATCTCAAACTAAGAGATACAGTTCCGAATAATTAATTTTTTGTGCTTTGGCTCTGTTGGCCGATTTAAAAAAAAACATCATATTTATGTTCTATTAATGTTCCAGTTATTATGATGTAATATTAAAATTAATTATTCACTATTAACGTAATGTTTACATAAAATTAATATTTGTTACTTTGAGATATATTACAGACAAGGTACATTGCAGTACATTTAAAATTTAACAGCGCCAAGTTTTTTAACTAAAATTTTTATATTTCTTAATTTTTATTAATTTTCAATTTTTGCATTATTTTTTAATTTCTAATTTTTGTATAAATTTTTACTTATTTGGTGCAATGTTTTGATATTTTTTGGAATTTTAATTTTACAACATAAGTTTTTGTCAATTTACAGTATTAATATATAGATAGAATTGATTATATTGATAGGTGTACGGGCTTGTAATGGATAATTGAATCGTTTGCTCCAACAATACTTTAATAATCACAAATAATACATTGCTTTCGTTCTTCTTCGTCGTCTGAGTACGACGGCTGTCGCCTAACTATATATGTCTGTTCAAAAGACGATAGATAAATTGACTCTACATCTAATCGCTACGACGATTACTAAAAAAACTCATTTTATGTTTTGGTTTTTTTTGCGTATATATGTATCGACTGTGCCGAGGTAGAATACCGCACAGTCGTTAGAGTGATGTGTCACGTGTAACATCGTCTTCTCTTTGTTTTTACTGCCGGGGTGAGTGATCTCTCCGATTTTTAAATTTTAATTCTTGTGAATTTTCTATGTTTAATTTATATATTGTTGTTGTGACTTTGATTAGTGTTGGTAAGGGAGTCACTTATGTGCTCTGCTTCCTTCCTGACGATGGTCACCGTTAGGGAGACACTCCGTCGGCCGGACAGTTTGAATAGGGAGGAGAAGAACATTTAATTTGTTTTGCGGATTGTATGTATTTGAGGTTTATATTTTTTATTTGTAATGACTATCTTTGATTTCTTGAATTTTTTGTATGTTGGAGCTACTGAAGAAGACCCGAAGTGGGTCGAAACGTTTAGAATTAAATAAATGAGCTTTATGTGAGATCTCATTTCTATTTATTAATTTTGTGCATGACATCCGCACATCCGATTGCCGTCGATATTTCATTTTTATTGTAACACAATAATTCGAGCCGAGTACAAAAGTTTTTATTTAAAAAACTCTTTCTACATCGTCTCGGTACGAACGCTAAACTGTGTCTGCCCGTGAGTCCCCAAATTTAGCATACGTTCCTCTCGCTTGGTCACGTTGTTGTCATGGCTGGCTCACGTGCTTTCTTATTGTGAGCCTCGACATCCCGCCCACCAATTAATGGTAATTAATTCTTGTGCTTATCGACAGGCAATTTACATATTTTTGTGATTGAACGTTTGATAACACTATCTTTAGTCTTAATGCTTACGACACGAACCTTATTATCGACTCCTGGGTGAAGTTCGATTATTCTACCAAGCTTTCATTGCAACGGTGGAGCATTTTCATTTACAATTAAGACTATATCGTCAATATCTAAATTTCTTTGTTCCGTGGTCCATTTGCATCGACCTTGTAATGACGTCAAATACTTAACACTCCATTGTTTCCAAAAGTGCTGCGCTATTCGCTGAGTCACACAATTGCCATTTATCCAATCTATTAATTGAAGTCTCCGTAACGTCGATATCGGGCAAGCTAGTCAATGGTTCGCCTATTAAAAAATGTGCTGGCGTTAAGGCTTGTAAATCGCTAGGATCGGATGATAATGAACATAAAGATCTCGAGTTCAGGCATGCCTCGATCTATGCTAACACGGTACTAAACTTCTCAAACGTGAGTCGCGCTTCGCCCATGACTCTCTTCAAATGATATTTACATGATTTTATCCCCGCTTCCCATATTCCACCCATATGAGGCGCATGGGGAGGAATAAAACTCCATTGAATATGTCGATTGGTACAATAATCATCTATCGCATTGCTAAATGTCGTCTTAATCGCAGTGTACAACTTTTCAAGCTCTCGTTTTGCGCCCACAAAATTTGTGGCGTTGTCGCTATAAATTTTTTGCGGCTAACCACGTCTGCTTACAAAACGACAAAGCGTGGCCAAAAATGCGTCCGTTGTCAGTTCACTAGTCGCTTCAATATGAACCGCTTTTGTTGAAAAGCACACAAATAACGCAATATATGATTTTCGCGATCTTTGCCCTCGACCTTTACTCGCTAAAGTGTTAATCGGGCCGGCATAATCCACTCCGACCACCGAAAACGCTCGTTGACAAGTTATTCTCTCTGGAGGCAATGATCCCATGATCTGATTCGATACTTTTGGATTGACTTTAAAGCAAACCGTGCATTCCCTGACAATTCTACGCGCAAGATTGCGACCGTTTAAAGGCCAGAATCTTTCCCAGATTGAAGCAAGTAAAGTCTGCGGGCCTGCATGAAGCATACGACAATGCTCCCGCTCAAACAACAACTTGGTGAACCGACACCTTGCCGGCAACAGAATTGGATGTTTTTTATCGTAATTACAGACTGATCTCTGCAACCTGCCGCCCACCCTGACGACTCCGTCTTCATCGATAAGTGGGCTCAGGGTTTTAAGAGCACTGTTCTCGCTCACATGATCCCTGATCTTTAATTCATGTAGTTCCTTCGCAAAGAATTGTTTTTGAATGTACTTTATTAATTGTAATTGTGACAAGGACAACTCCCTCACTGATAAATTGTCACGCTCGTGCTTCAACGGCTTTCGCCTACTATTCGCGATGAATCGTCTACACCACGCCAATACTCTCTCAATTTTTGTCAATAAAGAGAATTTATTCAAAATTGTACGGATAATGGAATCGGAGTCGCTCTGGGTCACGAAAACTCGTTTTTCAGTTTTCTCCTCGGACATTAGAATCTCTCGTTCTCGATTCGACAACTCACGAGCCTCATGCCGCGAATGCTCCGGAAATTCAGAAAGCCACTGTGGGCCCGACCACCACAACAAACTTGCCTCTAATTGATCAAAGGTGGTGCCTCGAGAAATTAAGTCCGCAGGATTTTCTTTACCCGCGACATGCCCCTAATGCTTGGCAGACAAAATTGACTGTATCTTCGCAATTCTATTGGAAATAAAAGTCTTTTGCCGATTCAGCTTACCCGCTATCCACGCGAGGACAATTGACCAATCGCTTCATGCATAAATTGTATGAATCTTGATCGTTAATGACTCGATAACGACTTGAATCAGATCCACTAGCATCACTGCCCCACACAATTCTAATCGCGGAATCGTTATTTTCTTGACCGGCGCCACACGTGACTTCGCGCAGAGCAATCTCGACACAACTTGATTATCGTTAGCAATCGCCTGTACGTATACACATGCCCCGTACGCTCGCTCTGAGGCATCGCAAAACGCATGTAAATTAATAGATACTGGATTTGAACAACCGACAACCTGTCTCGGTATTCGCATTGTACTAATCTTCGACAAATCTTGCACATATTCTAGTCACGCCCGATGCAAGTTCGCAGGCAATTCGTCGTCCCAATCGAGATTTAATTGCCAAGTGCTTTGCATAATCATCTTTGCTGTAATAATCAAAGAATTTGCCAATCCTAGCGGGTCAAATAGTTTAGAAATGGAAGATAATATGCTCCGCTTTGTTCTCGCATCAGACCCAGCCTGTGACTCACATTGCAAATCGTCGCTACTCGGTTGCCTTAGAAGACCCAACGTTTTCACGGTATCTCGCTCGTCCGTAATAGCCTGAACATCGGTTAAATTGCTAAGCTCGTTTCCTCCGGTCAATACTTCCATACGATTTGATCGCCACTTATGTAACTCGAACCCTCCTGCTCTCAACAATTGCGTCAATTCTTCGATTAACAGTTTCGCTTCATTAATATCGCTCATTCCCGTCAAAATATCGTCTACGTACAAATCTCGCAACAACGTTCGCGACGCTCGTGGGTATCAATCACTTGTCTCGCTTGCTAATTGTCGCACGCTCCTTATTGCTAGGAAAGGCGCGCACGCTTGTCCATACGTTACTGTGTTTAAATGATACTCTTGTATTGTCTCATCTGTCGAAAAACGCCACAGAACTCGCTGATAATCTCGATCGAAGTCATGAACCAGAATTTGTCTATACATTTTCTGTAAATCAGCCGTTATCACTATCGGCTGCTCACGAAATCGTAATACGATATTGAATAATGGATCTTGCAATGTCGCGCCTACCATCAAGGTATCATTTAACGATATGCCCGAATCTGTCTTAGACGAAGCATCGAAAACAACTCGAAGCCTCGTGCTAACAGCTGACTCACGCATCACTCCGTGGTGAGGTAAATAAATAGCTTGAGTATTTGTTGTCGCGGTCGCAGGAATGCTTGTCATATGGTTCAATTGTATATATTCTCGCATGAATTCCGTGTACGCTTTTCGAAATGATTCGTTACTTTTAAACTTTGCTCCAAACACATCAGCCGCTTCTCCGCGATTGATCGCGACTCGCCGAGCTCGTGTTTATTATTTTAAAAGGGATTATTTCAGACGAACGACGAATCTACCTTCCTTATTTCGAGTATGTGTTTCCGCAAACATTTCCTCGCACGCACATTCCTTGCTCGACATTGCTATGCTCCCGCGTCCCGAACAATCTTCGATTTCCCAAAATTTCTCTAATGATTTTTGCAAAGATATCTGTGTAGCCATGCACGCAACATAATTGACGTTTTTCTTTCTGACATATTGAGCGAGAATTGGTCCGAAATGACCCATCCGAATTTCGTGTTTTGCAATGTAGGTAATTCGTTCCGAGTTCGATTTTTGCGGGTTCTAATAGCTTTATGAAAAACTCGCTGCCTAATAGCATATCAATTTGACTAAGCTGAAAATATTGAGGATCAGCCAATTTCACTGTATCTGTGACCGAAAATGATTTAGCACTAATTGCAGCCGCAGGCAGCTCCCGTGTAATTTTTGGAACGACTAATTGTAAGCAAAACGCCGATACTTGATAACTCGTTACTCTCAATCTAATTGTGACTCGACAACCTCTCGTAATTGCACAAATTGTATTGTTTATTCCCGAAACCGCCTCATGAATATCGTCCGTCTTAATATTTAATCTGGCACACACGGCCTTTGTTATAAAATTCGCTTCGCTTGCACTGTCAAGAAGAACGCGAATCGGCTGTTCAAATCCTCGGGAATCCCTAATATATATCACCGCAGTTGCCATTAAAACTTGACCAAAATTTGCGCGTTTGACTACATGGTGCACGGATAAATTGACGCTATTGCTCTTTTCCGAATTTCCATCTACCGTTTTGCGATTCGATGCGATAACCTTTTGCGCGTGACCTTTTTCGTGATCTGTATGACACAGCGTATTGTGTCTTCCCGAGCATCGTCGACATGAACTCGCCTTACATGCGTTTACGAAATGATCGTTCTTCAAACAATTAAAACAAAGTCTCAACCGCTTGACTTCCTCGATTCGCTCCTGCTCGGAAGATTTATGAATTATGAATTTCTCGCACAAATATATCCGATGCGCTCCGCTACACACGAAACAGCGCCCAGCAACCGTTGACGTGACCAAACTTACGGGTGTATTTCTTTGATTGCTCCCAGATGCTCTGGACTCGCCTTTTCTTAACGATCTCGAACTCTCGATAGCGTTGACCCTTCCAGACTTCGGTCCGGGTCTCTTTGGTATAGACCTTTCCTCGCTAATTGAATTGCCCAATCGATTGAGCATCCGAACGCGTCGCTGCAAAAATTCAAATAGTAAATTGACTGACACCTCTCCTCTACCTTCCATACTCTCTTCGCAGCGACGGCGAGTGGACCCACCCAGCTTCTCCTCGATCATAAAGAGCATCAAGGATTCTGCCCAAGACTCGCTCTCGGATTCCATTGATTTCAAAATGCGCAAATGTTTTTGAAAATGGTTGACCAGCTCCTCGATTTCGACTGCTGACTCTCGACCGACCTTGGGTGCTTCAAACAAACAATGAATATGTCGCCGCTTCAATGCCTTTGGATCTTCGTAACGGTTCTTCAAAAGATTCCAAGCTATTTCATAGTTTTGCACCGAAATCTCAATAGACTCGATGATTTTTGCCGCACTGCCCGTTACTGCACCGACTAGATATTGGTGCTTTTGAACAGCCGATAATTTACTGTTGTGAATTAATGTGACGAAATTGTCGGAGAATCGTTTCCAATCTTGATTTCTCCCGAGAACGTTGGCAACTTAATTGTCGGCAGCTTTACCTTGTTCTCATTGTGCGCACTTGCACTCAACGCTCGGATCACCTCTGTCTGTTGTTCCAACACGTGCGCGAGCGACTCGTTGCTGCCACTCGCACTCACAGCAGGCTTGAGCGCAGCCTTCCATTTTGATAGCGTCGCCTTCAATTCTATATATCGATCCTCGAAAGTATCGTCCTCCTTCTGATCATCGGCTTGTAGATCTTCTTCTTCAATTGTGCATACTAGCTTTCGTTGTGACTAACTCGTTAAAATCGTTGTACGCCTGTTCTAGCTCCAGGTGTACAGTAATTGTCTCAATGTTCGCTGCTATTCTCTTATTAACGACATTCTCGACGTATTTCCATGTCTTTGTCACCTTGGCCTTGACATATCCTCGTTGTCGACGCAACTCCTGTGCACTCATTGTACTAGCTTGATTGCTCACAAATCCGGCTCGAAGGACCAATGTACGGGCTTGTAATGGATAATTGAATCGTTTGCTCCAACAATACTTTAATAATCACAAATAATACATTGCTTTCGTTCTTCTTCGTCGTTTGAGTACGACGGCTGTCGCCTAACTATATATGTCTGTTCAAAAGACGATAGACAAATTGACTCTACATCTAATCGCTACGACGGTTACTAAAAAACTTTTCTACATCGTCTCGGTACAACGCTAAACTGTGTCTGCCCGTGAGTCCCCAAATTTAGCATACGTTCCATGACCTCTCGCTTGGTCACGTTGTTGTCATGGCTGGCTCACGTGCTTTCTTATTGTGAGCCTCGACAATAGGATTGATTACAAAACAAAACAGTCAATACAATAATGCACTGAAAGTTTATTTAGATGCACAACGAAAACTTGAGATAATACAAGTAAAAGATAGAGAAAATCATGATAACGACTGAAAGCGCGATATTACTCGTACGAATGTTGATCGAAGACAAAGATTTTTAAACAAACACGATAAAGTCGAATTTATTCGGTACACACAGTAGGTCGACGATTTAAGTCAGCTGATTTTCGCTATGAAGGTAGAGTAAGAAGCGCGTGCGGTAAGACGCGTGAGACAAGAAAAACCGCTTAAATACAGCAAAAAGATACATCGGCGATGCGGTGATTTCGAATGAATGCTATATATAGAATACAATACCGAGAATATAAGAAAGATTACAATAGAAAACTTAGCGAAATGAGATAATAATTTTATCACTTGAAAGATTATATATAATATTAAAGGAAATAATGAGAATCAAATAAAATTAAGAAATTGAAATTGAATTATTAACAAACAGAACTTTTTACATCTATTTTTTTAGAATTATAATTATTATATATAACATCTTCATCTCATCTCGGCCAATAGAGCCAAACGCGATGTTATTGTGAAAATTAAGAAACTTAGGAATTCATATCTTATGGTTGAAATCTCAAAGTTCCCCTTGTTCCTATTTTAACCCCCCTGTAAAGAAATAGGCGATAAAAATATTGGTCCGAAAGTCGGCTGAATCGGAAATCGAACCCGAGATCTTTCGTTTGCTGGACGGCTGAGCTATTCAGACTATTCAGACAAAACAATACTTTTCTCAATGCTTTCACCCCAAAGCGTCGTAATAATAGGCCCAGACGCAAAGAAACAATATTAAGAATATTTGAAGGAGCAGTCGCCTGGCAAGCAAAGGTCTCGGATTCGATTTCCGATTCAGCCGACTTTTGTACCAATATTTTTCTTGCCAAGGTTAAAACACGAAGGGAAATTTTGAGATCTAAACCATAAGATACAATTCCTAAGTTTTTTAATTTTTTGCAATAACATTGCATTTGGCTCTATTGGCCAAGATGGAGCTGGAGATATTATGTATTTATTTCAGAGATCCGACTAAATATTCTTAATATTATAATTATTATATTATACAGTTAAATTATATTGTATAAAAAAAAAATAACATTTTTCGATCAGTTTTTTACAGTAATGTAAAAACACTGTTTCTATATAACATTTTTTCACATGGTGCGTGACTTGGCGCCACTTTTAATTCTTTTTAATAGGTAAAAACATGTGCTATTGAGTTGTTATCATATGCTAACGGGACCCTCTCAATTTCTTATATTATAAAATCGATTTCGTACAACATTATTATAAAAAGTTATAAAAGTAGCATGATCACAAAGAATGGTTTTACGAAATATTTTATAAAGATATCAGAAAATCAATTGACCAATACTGGCTAAGGTGAATAATCTTTATTGAAAAAGACGCAACGTTTGACCCGAATTGGATCCTTTCAGCTACAAATTAAATTATAAATCTCAGTAAAAAATGACAATACAAAACAAATACGGAAAATCATAAATATAAGTATTAAAAAAATACCTGTTGAAGATTCGTTCTTCGGATCGAATCCTCGAGGACGATCGAATTTTCTAGAATGTTTTTTGTTAAATTCCTTAGTGTTTACGCCAAGGAAACACGTGAAACCAACGTGTACACTCGCCGCTAATTGGCGTGTGTACATCGCCTGATTTTCCGATGGTCCAATCGAGGACCCCGATCGGCTGCCGCCCTACGCGAGCTCCGAAATTCGCGCAGCCCTCGAGTCAGTCCTCGAGAGAGCGAGCGCCGAGAAACATAAGTCTAGGTACGCGACGAACTTGTAGAAAGTGAATAAACTAAATTAAACCGTTTCAAAACGCGTACAATTATTTGATCACGTTAACCCGGCATCCTACAACGTTAAATCTTATACATATAAAAATGGTCCTTCGAGCCGGATATTAAAAACCGATCGAGTGATAGTGAAATCGCGAAAAGAACGGGCTCCTTCGTTTCGTACCTTATTCGAACAATTGACAATTTCTGCCTCGTGTGCCTATATCGGGGCAGTAAATTTAAAAACGCAGTGATCCGCGGCAAGAGAAATACGCTAATTACGCGTTCTCGTTTAGAGTAGAAAAACTCCGTGTGCGGGAGTGAGACCGCGCTACAAGACAACAAGCCGTCGCGCGCGCTCCGAAACAGTCTATCTCTCTCTCTCTCTCTCGCGCTCTCTCCAAGACGTGAAGAGCGAGAGAGACGGTATCACGCCGCGCGCTCCGAAGCTCTCTCGCTCGCTCTCTCTCTCTCTAGCTGCGGCTCTCTCGGCCGCGCGCCTGCCGTCGCTCCGGCCTAAGCCGCGGCGCTCCGGCCACGTGACGGTCACGCGCCCTCACGTACCCGGTGTACATCGAATTCTGCATTTGAGTAGACAGAATTTCGACGTTGAAGTGTCACTTGCAGTGCAAGCGCCGCTATCACGCGCTTTGCAATCTTGCATTCGGACGGCAGTTAAACGCCGTTCGAGATTAGTGACTGCACGTGTACTCCGCTACTCGCGCTCAGTGACTCTCAACTCCGGCGCCGCTATCACGCGCCAGTGATTTTTAATTGAGTGCGGTGAACATACGCGAGTTATCCGCAAGCGCCGCAAGCACGCGCTTTGCGTTACGGTATTCGCAGTGACTCTCAATGATTAATCGTGACTCGTACTGATTAACAGTGACTCTCAGTGAACGTGCGCCGCTATCACGCGCACCGCACCGGTGAATCTTAACCAGTGCATTTTTCTCACTGACTTTTGACTCTCGCAGACCGAAGTGTAAACGACCGCGAACGCCGCTATCACGCGTACGCGTCGTGCATCTCTCTGTGACTCTCTCGATCATCTTGGTGATTTTCGACGTTTCTAAACATTTTAAAAGGTGCGCGACTCGCTATTTCGACGCCGCTATCACGCGTCCGCCGTCGTGCATCACTCTGTGCCTCTCTCGATTATCTTGTTGATTTTCGACGTTTCTAAACATTTTAAAAGGTGCGCGACTCGCTATTTCGACGCCGCTATCACGCGTCCGCCGTCGTGCATCACTCTGTGCCTCTCTCGATTATCTTGTTGATTTTCGACGTTTCTAAACATTTAAAAAAGTGCGCGACTCGCTATTTCGACGCCGCTATCACGCGTCCGCGTCGTGCATATCTCTTGACTCTCTCGATCATCCCGGTGATTTTCGACGTTTCTAAGATTTAAAAAACCACGCGATTTGCAATTTCGACGCCGCTATCACGCGCCACGCAATCGCTTCGTGTGAGAAAGACAGCCGATAACGGCTTAACGAGACGGTGCGCTAGCTCGCGCTCGGACTCTCTCTCTCTCTCTCTCTCTCTCGCGCGTCAATCAGCGGGCGCTTCAAGTCCGCGCGCGCGCTTGAAGATTTCGCTTCAGTAGCGAATAATCGATAAACGATTCAACAATCCGGCATCGATAATCATGTCGACTGTCGTGAGTGACCTGCTCATCGAGCAGGGAGCTTGTATTGACGAGATCAAACGAGATCTCGTCAACTTCAAGAAGCTGGCCAAATCCAACGTGACACTCGCCAAGACGCGAAGTAGGCTTGCCAAGTTGGAGGAGCACTGGGCCGCCTGCCGCGGCCTTCATGTCAAACTGCTTCAAAAGACGACCACGGAGCAGCAAACGACCTTGCCGTATTTCACTCTGGAAGAGTTCCTGAGAGCTGAGGATGTCTACATCGACACGGCCGATCTGCTGCAAGATACGATAAGTCGATTATCTCCTAATACAATTCCGTTTACCGATCGTAGTTCCGATTCCTCCGTTCGCGAAACAAATAATCATTGCTTCCAATTGCCACGCATCGCGCTGCCAAAGTTTTCTGGGAAATTAACCGATTGGGAAAATTTCCGAAACATTTTCGAATCTCTTGTAGTAAGTAACGACGCTCTTTCAAATTCACAAAAATTTCATTACTTAAAAACGAGCGTAACGGGAGACGCTTCCTTGCTGATCAATAATTTAAAAATTTCCGATGCGAATTACGAATCTGCCTGGCAATTGTTAACCAATGAATACGACGATAAGCAAGCGTTAATCTATGCTCATTTACACGCGTTTATTAGCCTTCCGGTAATGAAAAGCGAGATTGTCAGCGATTTGCGAAAATTGCGCGACACAGTGTCTGCATCGTTAGCCGCGTTAAAAAATCTCGATCGTCCCGTAGAACAATGGGACGACATTCTTGTTTATACAATAACGCAAAAGTTTAGCGCGAGAACACGTACCGAATGGAATTTAAGGCGAATCAAACGAAATGAGCCTTCTTCTTATCAGGAGCTTAATGAGTTTTTAACTCTCCGTATACGCGGATTGTCGGACTTTGCCGATTCAAGCAAGGACTCCGGTTTTTCGAAAAATGATAAACCGCGTTTAACAGTAAACAACGTGACTGCCTTTAAATGTATTTGTTGCTCCGGTGAGCATCACGTTTCGAAATGCGAAGACTACGCGAAGAAATCAGCTTCACAGCGCTTTGCTCTCGCGCGCCAGCATAAACTCTGCTTTAACTGCTTAAAGTCCGGACATTTCCCG